CCCCCTCCTCACCCTCACGCCGCGTGGCGCTTGCCACTTGCCACCTCGCAGTACGGCCTCCACGTCTTCATCCACGTGTAACCATTTACCCCGGTTCCCCAAACCCCCGCCACCAGCAAACGATTTTTAAGTCTAGCCCACACTTTCCCCCAAAAACAGAGTTTCCATATCTCACCAACTTTCCCTTTGCTTCACTTCGGCCGGAGATTATGCCGGACACTTCCGAATCCAGCACCGCCCCGTTTTTCCCGTCGGCCACGGGCCCCGCCGCCATGGTGGGTGACGTAATTCTGTGGAGGCGCCCGCTATGGAGCGCCCTCGTCGTTACCGTTGCGACGGCGACTTGGGTTCTGTTCGACGTCTACAAATTCAACTTCGTCACCGTCGTGGCGTGGATCGGCATGGCGGTCGTCACTTCCCTCTACCTCTACGGCCACCTCGTCAGGCTTTTCCGGAAGTAGTGAAGTTTCCAAAAGCTAATTAATTTCTTTTCCCCCCACTCTCAAATCGTCCCCTTAGTGTAATTAAAAGTGCTGTTTTTTTTGGATGTTTAAAGGGAAGAGCCGGATCTGATGGACAGGCAATTCGTGAGGGAGGAGAGAGTGGTGGAGGCGGCCCGATCGGTTGGATCGGGGATCGAGCTAGCGGCTCGGTGCCTGGTCCGGATGAGCACGAATGGAGACTGGAGAGTGTTGACTCATCTCGTCGTTGAGCTCGGGTTTCTTGCCTACCTCGGGAGCTTGGTCGATTTCCTAACCTTGGTTTATTTAGGTGATTACACGGACCACCGGTTCTCGATTCGAATCTCAACCTTTTTAGCCACGGTCGAATTCGACCGTCGTTAAAAGTATTAACCACCGTATCGTGACTATTAAACACCGTTTTAACGAACAAATGCTATTTAGGTGATTACGAACCACCGGTTCTCTATTCTAATGATCTCACCCTTTTTAGCCACGGTCGAATATAACCGTGGTTAAAAGTATTAACCACCGTATCGTGACTATTAACCACCGTTTTAACGAACAATTGCTGTTTTTCCTCCCTTTCTTTTTGCGCTGTTCGATTGAAATTTCTTGGGTTGGGCAGGTGTTGTGATGGCAATGACGCTGCCTCTGGCGTACAAGAAGAACGAGAGGAAGATATTGAACGCGGCGGTGGAGGCACAGACGAAGGGAATGCAGTTTCTGTACATGGTGGATGAGAAAGTGGTAAGGAGACTGAAGGGGAAGGTGGTAGCCGTGGCGTCGATGAATGAGGATAACCACAGCAAAGACCAAAAGGAGGAGAAGGTTGAGTAGCATGCCATGATCGATGTAAGATTTAGTGTTGTATGATCTACCTCGAAGAGTATTAAGTATATGTAGCTAGGTACGTAATTAGCTAGGGTTTTGGTGCGGGGATTGGTTTTTTAGGCGCAGTCCTTTTAGTTATATGCTGGTGTGTATATTAACGTGATGTTTTTATCATGAAATAACTTTTGGGGCTGATCTGAAACGCAGTCTGGCTTAGACGAATCATGTTCAAAACATGGTTCTTATATTTGATATAAGAGGTTTGAACAGACAGGATCCTTGGCGCAATGGTAGCGCGTCTGACTCCAGATCAGAAGGTTGCGTGTTCGATTCACGTAGGGTTCAATTTTTTGTTCATTATTTTTTTTTATAACAGAATCACCTACAAACAACAGGGGAAATTGTAATATGCTTCATCCAATATATATAACTGCTACTTCAGCAATTTGACGCCTTGGCTATATACCGATCCTGATGTATTACAAAATAATAAAATAGAATAATATTTGGTAACACCTAAAATATATGTTATATTATTCTTGATAATTTAGGTGCTTTCATGTCATATTTGTTTGTGAACGGGTGTATCCTTGATAATTTAGGTGCTTTCATGTCATATTTGTTTGTGAACGGGTGTATCCTTGATAATTTAGGTGCTTTCATGTCATATTTATTTGTGAACGGGTGCATTTGATCTTCTTATGGTTAAAACTTCAAATATTAGGGTTTAAGTAATTTAAGGGATAATAAGGCAAAATAAAGAACACAAAGGGTATATCTTTTAAAGTGTCTAAATGTGGGCCAACCAACTCGAACCAACCAGTAACCCATAACCCATGTGCTAGATCGCATCAACAGTTTGATATGGTCATCCTAGTGGACAACCTTGCTTAGTATAGATTTAGTTACCACCTAGACAAGTAGACAACCATTAATATTAGGTTAATAGCAACACTTGCACCTCTATTATTGTTTTTTCTCAAACATGCCATTCACATCAAAGTTGCTATTCTAATATAACATAGGTAGCAAACTTGTCGTCCTATTAATATTTTTGACCCAAAACCGTCAATAATAGTTGGATCGGTCTGACCAAAGCAAAATAAGAAATGAAATGTCAAATATACTCCTCCCTCCTAACCCGTCCCTGGACATCACCACTACATCTCCTCCCCAAGCACACCGGGCACTACGACGTTCATCGACGCTGCCACTGACCATTACCCTCCTTCCCAGAGCTTTTGGCCGCAGTCGACTTTGTGGCCATATGTCTCTCCATCGACGTGGGGATCCAGAAGGGCCATGTCGTCCTTTTACTCTGTATTTTAGTTAGAGTAAAAAAGACTCAAGAAAGGGAATGCAATGAGAGCATAGTATTTCTTTTCCTCTATGTCTTCAAGATTTATACCGAGCCAAGTAAAAATGAGAAACAATTTCTCACGTTCACAAAAAGAATAAAGAGCTAGAGCTTAATGATTTAATATTATGTACCCGGACTGAAACTCTATAGCTCTGGCGAATTCGGCTTGAAATTATTTGTAAACAAATATTGATGCATCATAAAAATCTAATTGAAGCCTATTACAAAGCAAATCATAGAACTTAATTTGTTTGCAGATGATGCAGCCACTTTTTAGATATATATATATATATATATATATATATATATATATATATATATATATATATATATGTTTAATGATGTCTGTAGACTGTAGGGACCAAAAACTACTGTTGAGTACTGGTATCCCTATCCAATGGATCTCCTTTACCAAAAACTAAAAGACACAAATGAGGGAGAGAAGCCTAATACATACACATGCACTCTGAATGTTTGATAATACCTTGTAATCTTAAATATACTTTGCTGGTGCAGTGGTGCGCTTTGAATAGAGGTTTAGTTAGTGTAAATGTTACTATTATGAACTCTTACTTCACTCCGATTATGGTTATCGGCAGTGCATATGTAGATTAAGCCGAAAAGGCAGAATGAAGGGAGAGCTTACTTGGCGTGTGGTTTTGCTAGGCAGAATGTCAGTAATCAACTCAACCTTTAGTGAATTCGAGGCAGAGATCTAAAATCTCTTTGTTCTTGACAATGTCTAATCCTACCTCCATTTTCCTTCATCTTTTGATTTGAAAGAAGAAACAAATATCCAAAGTTCAGTACCCAAGTCGAGCGAAGGTGGTGCAAAACCTTGAATGGACCAAGAGCTTCAACTCTTAATTTGGAATGCAAAACAAAAAGATATTACTGACATGCAAAACTCATCAGCTCTCTTCTCCAACCTTAATTTGGAATTGAAATGAACTGCCAAAGAGCAAAAAATGTTCATTGCATAGCTAAACATGGGCAAATCACAACTAACCTCTATTATCCCAAGTTGATCCAGTGGATAAGATCCATGCAAAATGCAATAATTTCACTTGTAAATGAAATGCTCTGAGTAAAAAAAAAAAAAAAAAAATCATACTTGGTCCAGTTGGGCCATTCATCATCTTCTTCTCCAAATTATTAAATTTATCAGAAACCAGTTAGCAATGCAATACGTTACAGTAACCCTGAAAAACCAATGTAAGGAACATATACCCCAAGGAACAACTTCAACGACATGCAGGAAGGAATACATCAGATCCGGGGAGCTATCAATTACTAATTTTGCATAACACAACCTAAGACTATAAGAAACAACGATTGTTGTATTTGGCCACAAATCCCAGAAAAACAATCCAAATTGACACAAACTGCTTCATTGACAAACACTAAAGCCATTAACATATACCATACATCCAATGAATTCATGAGGCTGAATTCAGTTATATTCATAATTAGGTTCTAGTAATCATGTATTTGATTCCTGCGGGCTGGTGTTGTACCACCAGCATCATAGAAATTAGATGAACCCAAACTAGACAGATACAATATCACAGTGCAACATGCGTCTTACAAATCCTCATTCACAATTTCTCACCAACATGGCGAGAAAGATACAAAACTGAGATAAAGGTTCATGTGTAGTTTATTTGTAACTATACTTGATGAATGTTTGGAGGAGATACTATATAAAATTAGTATTTAACATAATAAGCTATTACAGAAACTGGTCACAATGTGCCAAACAATTTTAAATAATGAAGAGGCTGATTGAGTTAGAACTTAAAACTTATTTTAAGTGGTAGGAATGAGTATCAATAGATTACAAACTGAAATCAGAGTCCCGTAGAATACCCATTCATAGACATCCCATAATACCAAGAAACAAACATTTGAGTTATTAAGATAGGAGATTACTACTCTGTTTTGCTATGGCTCTCGCCGTGGATACCCAAGTCTGCTAAAATCCTACAGTGTATGATCTATGGACCGATAGCAAACCAATGCATGTTAAGTAAAAACAGCTAGCCATGCTTATAGTTTCACATAATAATGCACCTATAATCGCCATGCTTGGAGCACGTCCTCCCTATTATCAGAGCTATGTATTTACTCTACACATTTCAGTTTTCATACCCTAAACTTGCGTCGAGGCTATCTAACACGATCAATTTCCTATCGAACTTCTGTAAATTAGGACACAACTGCAGATATCATCCTCCAGATTGAGAAAACCACAGAGGAACCCTAATTGGCAATAAAGAAAAAATGCAATTTCATTATGCTAAAACAAATAAATCAAGTGTGACCTTTAGCATAGAAACCTAGAAATCTCACCAAATTTATATGTCGCAGAAAAAATAAGATGCTGACAGTTCAGCCCAAAACTCGTCAGCATCATAACTGCATATAAGAATTCAAAACACAATCATTAAGCATGGATTGGGATCCAGAAGAAGCTAAGGATTGAGGAAACTATACCAGATAAAAATGGACTCACTGGCCCGGAATCTCTAAGCAGCTAAATAAAGATTAGAAAAACAACGACACTCGGCATGACCAAATTATCCTTCCAGCTCTTGAAACTGCCATTCTATAATCAAGGTTAGCTTACGATCTAGGATTCTTTTTATTTGATAGAGAGTATGTATAAAGGTCGTTCTTTTACGGAAGGAGATGGGCGTTGGTGATTTTCCAACAGAGTTAAAACCAAGGCACACACACAAAACCATACAATGTTTCAACTTATGCAAGTGAATCAATAAATGTCGTAACATCTACATCCTAAGGCAAATCGAAGAGCTGGACATAAATATGTCTCCCACGTCAGCTATGAAGTCCAGATACGCAAAACAAATCAATGCAACAGAAATAGAATTCGTGAAGCAAATACCAAGTCCAAGCTTAGGGAAGCAATACCAATTGAAAGCTTAGAAATGGAATGACGAACCCACCAATTTAACACGCAGAACTGTCATTCAAATAAGCCGACTGCAACAACTGAAATGCAGAAGAAGCAGCGGTCAAACTGCAGGCATGGAGAATTGATTGATAGAGACGAGCCTTTGGTTTTGAGATAATAAGCTAATTTTTCAAATTGTGGAGAATTTGAAAGATAGAAAAAAAGAAAACACAAACCCATCGATTTGGAGCACACCCCTTGACCAAGTTGCCAATCCATGAAACGAATCGCAAGAACTGTAGTTCCGAAGAAGAAGTAGTCGAACAACAGGTATGCAGAATCGATTGGTACAAACCGGAACTCCCTACTGCAACCCAACACCTAGAACTCAATTATCTAGATTCAAAAGGAACTTAACTCTCAATTGATTATAATCGCACGATGAAGGAAAAAATTTAAGCAACAATCTACTCACCAATTTAAAACGCCACCTCGAGATATCCGTGGGAAGCGATTCGGTGGGGAAGTCGGAGAAGCGATCGAACGACAGTATGACTAAACCGCCATACCAAGACAGAGCAGTGAGAAGAGAATCGCTTCAGAGGAAGAACAGAGCTATCCATGGACGACTGGATGAAATTGAGAGGCCTCCCTACTGCTAACGGAGAGTGGTGAGGTTTTGGTTTGGGGTAATGGAGAAACTGCTGCAAAGAAAACGAAGATACTAACAAGTAACAAAGGCCAAGAGCGGCTGCAATTTGATGGGGAAAGAAAAAGAAAACCGGAAATTCGATGGTGATTCCAAAAGGGGAGAGAGGAAAATGCCCGCTAAATACCCTGCCACATAAGCTCCCCGCAAATCACTCTATGGACAGGGAATTTTGAATGGAGGGTGCAGTTTTATGTTTCCACTATAAATGTTACTGTAGATTATAATTTAATTTTTTTCGATCACTCGAGTTATTGAGATCATTTAGTTTTTAACATGATATCAGAGCTTTTTATAAATGAAATGTCTTTTGTTTGGAAGAATGCAAAAGCTTTGATGAGGTAATTGAAATTCTTTCATGGTTTGACTTTGATTGCATCCACTACTTCTGTTGTGACTGCTCATCGATTCTTGAGAGAGTTTGGAAAGGTATTCTATAATATTGAGAAAATGATGAATAGCAAGGATGATGACATAGGGGATAGGATAGAATAACAACACCTTTAGTGTTGTTATTATAACAACAGAATTCATTAAGGGTAAATAAGTAAATTAACAAAAAAACATCAAATTAAAATTAAATAAATAATCTACAAACCCTAATCCACTCCTTCAATCTCGTATGCAATTTCTGCCGTTCCTCGCCAACCTCATCTCCGGTTGTTCCTTCTTTCTTCCACCGCCGGCGTCGACAGTCCTCCTCTATTTCCTTCTATGTTCCGGCGCCGATCAATCCCGTGATACGAGCTCCGGGAGAGATCCTGTTCGACGTCAGCGGCAACCGTCGTCTTCCATGGCTGCAATAGCGACCTCGGTAAGTCCTAGCTTCTGCTACCGCAAGTCATCGAGAATCGACAGCTGTTTTCTCTCCACCGACACTCTTTTCTCTCCTCCGTGGACCTCGAACGCCTCCACGCCGCCGTCGCGAAGCTGGACCACCAGCTCGAAGCTCACATGTTCGGAACCGAGATCCTCTGTTGCTGCAACGGACTGCTCGCGCTCCGCTATTCGGACGAGGAAATCGCGTTCTGGAACCCTACCACTCGCGAGCACCGTATGCTCCCCAAGGCGGAGGTCGAGCTTCCTCCGGGGAATTCCAACTGCGAGTTCGTCGTCCGAATCGCACATCCGGAGAACTGCACGGAGCAAGAGCCCAGCCCTGCAATCGAGAGGTATCGCCAAGTTTCAGTTCCCTTGTTATCAAGAGCATATGTTGATCGAGGCGGATGGTTTCGTCGGGGGTTTTCAAAATGCCTGCTGGAGAAAAAGGTGGGAACTTTTGGAGCTCTTGATGGGTTTTCTCCCCTCTTTTTCTCACTGCTTTACAGGGAATGAGATTAATAAGGTGGAGAAGGAAGAAAAGAAAAGAAGGCTATTGGGAGGGAGCTGCGGAATTGGGGAATTTGGTGGGTGGAGAAATCGGTATCCTGGTCGGTAAGTCTTGATTATGTTAAAAAATCGCGAGGAAGGGACAGAGAAGAGAGGGACTTGTGATCAGAAAAAAGAACCCATAATTGTTGCAATTTACAGATTCAAACAGGACAATTGACACATCATCAGGGCTCGAAATTGCTCTGCATTCGTTTTCATGGAGAGGGTAATTAGGTTAGGTGCCCACCAATTTGGAGGGTTTTGCCCTATTTTGGGTTGAGTTAACAATAACAATGGCGGTGTATGTTTGCAGTGCAAGCTAAGCACACAAGGCTCTTCGTGGAGTGTGTGTACATTAATATTCCATTTTGTGTAGCATTGTTCATCGGAATGGACGGGTGAATGGAGTTGTTGAGACTTGCTTTGGTTCGTTTCATCGTTATTCATACCTCACAAACCAAATCACATAATTTTCAAAAACACACTAGAAATCTCATAATGCAAACCACAAACACGATAAAGCAAACCACAAAAACAAACCAGAAACGTCCTAATACAGACCAAAAATCTATTAAAACAAACCATAAACCTCACAAAGCAAACCACGGAATTTCGAAAGCACACCAGAAACCTTATAATGCAAACCAGAAACACGATAAAGCAAACCACAAAAACAAACCAGAAACGTCCTAATGCAGACAAAAAATCTATTGAAACAAAACCAGAAACCTCACAAAGCAAACCATAGAATTTTCAAAAACACACTAGAAACCTCATAACGCAAACCATAAACACCGTAAAGCAAACCACAAAAACAAACCAGAAACGTCCTAATGTAGACAAAAAATGTATTAAAACAAACCAGAAACCTCATAAAGCAAACCACAGAATTTTCAAAAACACACCAGAAACCTCATAATGCAAACCACAAACACGATAAAGCAAACCACAAAAACAAACCAGAAACGTCCTAATGCAGACCACAAATCTCCTAAAACAAACCACAAACCCCTCAATGCAAACCACAATTTTTTTGAAAGCAAACCAGAAACTTCTCAATACAAACCACAAACACGATAAAGCAAACCAAAAAATTCTCAATGCAAACCACAAAAGGCATACGAAAATATGAGAAACCAAACCATAAATCTCACAATGCAGACCATACATCCGGTGGTCGTTGACCGTTGACCGGTCAACGAAAATCGTTGACCGAACTCCGGTGACCGTCAGTGAGTAGATTCCGACGCCGATAGGCATATTCTGACCCCGATGACTATATTCCGATTCCGGTAAGCATATTCCGACCGCGGTGAGCATATTCCGGCGACGATGGCATATTCCGATGACAAAATAGCATATTCCGGCGACAAAAAAACATATTCCGGTGACCGGCGACCAGATTCCGGCGACCGGTAGCCGAATTCCGGCGACCAAAATTTTGGGCCGAAAAATAAAAAAAAATATTTTTTATTTTTTATTATTTAAACATATTTTTCATAATGACAATTATACCCCTGCTTTGATTTTACACTAGGTCAACTCATCTAATAAAAAGTCATCACAACCCTAACTTCCTATTGGTTGGAGACTAGTGTTGTTACAATAACAACACAATGAGTGTTGTTACCGTAACTGGTCTCATGACATAGTTAGGATGGGTATGAAGATGAAGGCTAAAGTTGACAAAGATTGGTCGGAGAAGGATTGTGTCAACTTCAGATTGAACAGGTTGGTTTACATGGCTGTGGTGTTTGATCCGAGGCATAAGATGAATTATCCGGATCATATTTTCAAGAAGATGTGTGGAGAGGATAGGGCAAAAGTCTTGGTGAAAGAGTTGAATGATGAACTCGAGAAGTTGTTTGAATATTATCAGAGTAAGATGCCTCCTCCTGCTACTTCTTCTCCTCCAAAACGTCGAGTACAAGTTGCCACTTCAAGTTCACCGAGGTCAGCTAGTGATTCTGATGATTGTTATGATGATTATGATCCTGATGATGATTCTGGAAAACCTCAAACTGGCCATACTAAGAGTGAGTTGGAGAAGTATCTTGCTCATCCTCGAGAATATGATGATGCTGAAGAAGAGTTTGATGTGTTGAAGTGGTGGAAGACGAATGCTATGAGGTATCCCATCATGAGTGAGATGGCAAAAGATCTGTTTGCTATTCCTATATCAACTGTTCCTTTCGAGTCCGTTTTTAGCACAAGTGGGCGTGTTTTAGATGAATTTAGGAGCTCGTTGCATCCTAAGATTGTGGAAGCTCTCATATGCAGTCAAAATTGGCTTAGATAAAGTTCTAGTGAGTTTGTGGAGCATCTTGATGGTGATGATGATGACTATGAGGATCAAGAAGACTTCGTGAGTGGTAAGTAAATTACTTTGTAGTTTTTAGTTTTGGCCATGTAAATGCTATTGCTAACAATTATATTTTTTTGATCCATGTCATTTAGTTTACAATGCTATTATGGTGGATGAGGCGGAAAGGTGTGAGCATGTGAGTGGACACAAAGGTACAAGTACGAGAAATGTCGGAGGGAGTGATGTGTTTGGTTCGAGGAGTGGAACAAATCAAGAAGGTGGATCTAATGCTTCATTTGTTTCTCTTGAACCGGATGAGTAGAAATGGTTTGGTGAATTTGTTAGATTGGATTGAATTTGGTGTTTGATGTCTAAACTTTGGTTGTGAACTTGTGATGCACTTTATTTTTATTTTGAAGTTTGAATTGGACTTGAGTTTGTAATAGACATCAATGATGGTTGTGATTTTGTATTGGACCATGTTTGGCTTGATTTTTGCTACAAACAGGTTGTCTACATTCCAGAAAAATGGGTATATGTTGCTGAATTTTCTGCAACATGGTCAAAACGGGTCAAAACAGGTCAAAACCGGATTGGGACCGGGCTGGGTCAAAACCGGACCGGGTCAAAACCGGACTGGACCGGATCAATTCGGGCCAATTTAACCAAACCGGAGCGTATAGCCACCCCTAGGCAGAAGTGGGTACCTACTTCTCAAAAATTGCGGCCAAAGACATGCTAGTAATGGTGGCGTATTTGCCTTTTCCAACTGATGTATCAGTGATTCCGGCAACGACCATATACCAATCCTTTCTTCCCTTCAACAACCGATAATTACCACAACAAAACCCCATTTGTTCAAACATAAAAAAGATCTGAATTTGCATTTGACATCATTCTCCCTTACGTAAAAAGAAGTATACAGCAAAGGTGAATCACAGGAAAAATCTGTAAGGAAATAAAATCAGGCATCCAAAGCATACCCAAATTAGAGAGTCCATGAAACAAGAAGGGAAAGAGATAGTTTGTCTTAGCTGTTGGTTTCATCAGGCTTCAACTAAGGACATTCAGTTCGATTATGGATTCAACCTCGCAACAGAGGATTTTGGGGAAAATACAATCGGAAAGCAGCTATCTCAAACTCGGCTAGCCGCCAGGGGAAGAGCCGTAGGTAACAAACGGTAGCCGTCAGGGCTATCACCGCAGGGGAAGGGTGAATCGACCATCGATGATGGTTTCTGGAAGGGAAACCGAGAGTTGGGCAGCCGCCAGACAATCGTCAATAGGTGAGAGTGAGAAGAAGTCGAAAAGTGAGGAGGGGGAGGAAAGCTGAGCCGCGGGTGCTG